TGCGGGGGTTGAGCTCTGGCTCTTTGTGTTTGCGGGGGTTGAGCTCTGGCTCTTTGTGTTTGCGGGGGTTGAGCTCTGGCTCTTTGTGTTTGCGGGGGTTGAGCTCTGGCTCTTTGTGTTTGCGGGGGTTGAGCTTTGGCTCTTTGTGTTTGCGGGGGTTGAGCTCTGGCTCTTTGTGTTTGCGGGGGTTGAGCTCTGGCTCTTTGTGTTTGCGGGGGTTGAGCTCTGGCTCTTTGTGTTTGCGGGGGTTGAGCTCTGGCTCTTTGTGTTTGCGGGGGTTGAGCTCTGGCTCTTTGTGTTTGCGGGGGTTGAGCTTTGGCTCTTTGTGTTTGCGGGGGTTGAGCTTTGGCTCTTTGTGTTTGCGGGGGTTGAGCTCTGGCTCTTTGTGTTTGCGAGGGTTGAGCTTTGGCTCTTTGTGTTTGCGGGGGTTGAGCTCTGGCTCTTTGGGTTTGCGGGGGTTAAGCTCTGGCTCTTTGGTCCCGCCTCTCAACCGTCAATCAATGATATGTGTGTGTGTGTGTGTGTGTGTGTGTGTGTACGTGTATGTATGTATGTATGTATGCGTATGTATCTACAAACCCATAATCGAGGATCACGGGGGTTCAATTGATGGGGCCAGATAGAAATGGTTTAGCCCATGTTTCCTTTCACCCTGATGTCTCTGTTCACCTAGAAGTATAAGAGGTACACGGGAGATAGGCAATTATTGAGGGTGGCATCCTGGGCAAGGTCAATAGTTCGATCTAGGGGAGGACATCGATACAAGCCTAATTATAGGCTTCCTGTCACCGACCACGGGAATTAACTTTGTTCTTGTGTGTATTTACTATTTGTATCTGCAGAATCGAGTTATTAGCTCTTGGACCCCGCTTTTCTAAGCAATTTATCCTCTATTATGTCTACTACATATATTTCTCTTACACACACACACACACACCTCCAGGAAGCAGCCCGCAGCAGCTGTCCAACTCCCAGGTACCTATTTACTGCTTGGTGAACGAGCGCATCAGGGTGAAAGGAACTCTGCCCATTTGTTTCTGCCTTTGCTGGGGATCGAACCGCGGCAGAGGCAGAAAGTTCCTTAGCACTACGACCCCAGAGTGCTGTCTCCTCAGCCGCGAGGCCACTATATAATATTTTATACATTATATATTATATATATATATATATATATATATATATATATATATATATATATATATATATATATATATATATATATATACTAGTGGGAGGTACCCGGCGTTGCCCGGGTCTGTCAGTCTCTCGTACTCTAAACATACAATTCCAGAAAGCAACGGAACTACATTACTATTAAATACGCTCCCCCCCCCCCCCAATGTTCCCCACCATTCCTCCCCTCTGCTCTCCCCCACCCTTCCTCCCCACTCTCTTCCTCCCACTCCTCACCCCCATCCCTCCCTTAGCCCCTCTTCCATTTCATAAAATATAATATTAGGGGGTACCAGGAGGTGCCTGGGTGCCTTTACCCTCCTTTCCTTTAGACTTCTCCCTCCCCCCCCCCTACTAGCCCTCCCCACTGCCTCCTCTTTCCCCTCCCCTATCATCCCCTCCCCTCATCCCCTTCCCCAAATACCCACTCTCCCCACCATTAACTCCTCTTTCCATTCATAAAATAAAATATTTCAAGAGAAATTCTGACAGCGAAAGAGTCTATGGACATAAGAACGAATATTTCAAACCTGACCAGAATTGAATCCGTGAGAATCTGGTGGTGGTTGTTGATGTGTGCTTGTATAAGAGCATTTTAGAATGATTCTAAAATGCTCTGATAAAGGCGAATTGAGCCGAAAACGCGTTTAGCATTCTCTATTTTTCACATGTGGATTTTTCGCATAATTTGATCAGTGTTGCATATTATATACGAGGGCCGCGACGAGGGTTCGAACCCTCGTCACGGCCCTTGTGGATTTGTTCATTTGATGCATCACGCTATTGTGACTTCTGTGTGTAATCTATATACTTCGGAGCGCCGGAGGACAGAGTGAGGTGAGTGTTGCCTGACTCCGGCTTCAAGCTGTCCGCCAGGTATTAGGTTATGTTACGTTACATTTATAGTACCAAAGTTAACTGTCTGTATTTAGTTATTACTGTACTAACCGGAGCCCGTCCTCGGGTTGGTTAGCTCATTAAAGAACTATGTGCAACTTGTTCAGTTTACTACTAAATAATGCATATAAACTAGACCTAGTGATTGTAATTAGTGTCAATCCTCCCTGTTTAAACCACCTTGATTCTTGAGATGATTTCGGGGCTTTAGTGTCCCCGCGGCCCGGTCCTCGACCAGGCCTCCACCCCCAGGAAGCAGCCCGTGACAGCTGACTAACACCCAGGTACCTATTTTACTGCTAGGTAACAGGGGCATAGGGTGAAAGAAACTCTGCCCATTGTTTCTCGCCGGCGCCCGGGATCGAACCCGGGACCACAAGTCCAGTGTGCTGTCCGCTCGGCCGACCGGCTGATACTTGTCAAGGCTTGGCCAGGCCTATTGAATTTCCTTAATTGTCTTTTGGTCAATTTGCATGTGAACCTTTGTCCCAAATAGATTTTTTCTCAGGTTATAACTGTATGCAGGCGATGAGTCACAATAACGTGGCTGAAGTATGTTGACCAGACCACACACACAATCGACTTGAGAATGGTCCAGGACGGACCGAAACGTCGTCGTCCCTTCAAATTCTAGTGTGTGGTCTGGTCAATATAACTGTATATTATTATTATACCCAGACATTAAAATAGGAGGCTGGGAATATTAAAGTACAGTACCTTAAAGATGTAACAATACACAATTAGTGCGTTTTGCTACTAACCCAACATAACTGGATAAACCAAATCTAACTTTAGTTAGATTTGGACCTCAACAAGGCCCTTAGGCACATTAAACACTAATTAAACACTGAGATTTGGAACCATTAACGTAATAATAAACTTGGATAGTATGATAATAAATCATATGCAATAATGAACTTGGATAGTATGGTATTCCCGAAACCCCCCCCCCCCCTTCATTATTTAAAAATTACAACAATATTTACGGATCAGTTTGATAAAAAAAGTTGTTGCGTACTCAATTTGATAAAGAAAACGTTGTTGCGTACTCAATTTGATAAAGAAAACGTTGTTGCGTACTCAATTTGATAAAGAAACGTTGTTGCGTACTCAATTTGATAAAGAAACGTTGTTGCGTACTCAATTTGATAAAGAAAACGTTGTTGCGTACTCAATTTGATAAAAAAAACGTTGTTGCGTACTCAATTTGATAAAAAAAACGTTGTTGCGTACTCAATTTGATAAAGAAAACATCTGGTGCCGCTACGAGACCACATCAGCCGTAGAACTGTGTGGACATGTATGCCAGTTCACTGTTAACAAGTGGCAAGACTATGACGATGGAACGGTAACTTCTGAATTGACGAGTTTCAAGCTGCATCTGCAACCATACATTATTTTACTTGACAGATAAGACATAGCAATGCAACAAACCTAGTTGTGAGTAGGGAAAACAATTAGTTATTTCTAGTTTAGTGTTTTTGCTAGAAAGATAATGAATGACACTATAATGTCCACGGGAGGAGGGGGGTGAAGTTTCACCATTCAACTACTGTACATGTCATCTAATCATTCAAGGACATCTATGTAATATGCAATTAACTATGCAACTAAAACTAATAATACTATGTAATAACTATGCAACTTTATTCACAAGATCATTATGACTTAATAATAAAGCAAACAGGTACTGTTACGTCCGGTCTGCACAGCTTTCCATTGCTAATAAAACAATTCATCATCTAATAATCTAACTGTTGTTTTTAATGTACAATTCTTCGCAAAATTTCATACTTGAAAATGTCCATAATGAACAGGGACTCCGCTTACTATTTCCCATTACTGCGTCATGTAATCGTAGCGACAAAGCTCTGCTGGGGGCAATGCAGATATTAATACAGTACATTTTCAACTGACAATTTACACTTTTGCACTTACTGTGTTACATTGAATTGTTTAATGAAAAGTGAGCGTACAATATACGTTCTTCTCCTCGGTGCTTTTGTTAACTGGTAAAAACAAAACTGATTATATATGAGAAAATAATTTTTTGAGGCAATGGGGGTAACTCCGGTTCAGTCACCCCATTGCTTCAAAATAATTGTCTCATTGATACATCACCCCCATTGTGATTTCTTTATGATGTATATATGTATATCTCTAATATATATACATATATATGACAGTGTCAGACCACGGAGGAATAATCGAAACACGAGTTTCCTTAAGTACTTTCGTATTTTAATAATTCATCTTCAGAAGGAATTGATTCCTTCTGAAGATGTATTATTAACATACGAAAGTACTTTAGGAAATTCCTGTTTCAATTCTTCCTCCGTGGTCTGACACTGTCACAATTTTCATCACGTGTTAATTTTCGTGATTTACACACACACACACATATATATATATATATATATATATATATATATATATATATATATATATATATATATATATATATATATATATATATATACAGCATATATATTAAATACCTTGTGTATTCTTTGCTTACCTGAAGATGTTCCAAAGACGAACGAAACGTCGTAAAAAATAAACCCTTCAATAATTACTAGTTTCTTTACCATAAATTTCGGCAACTTGATTGCTCTTCTTAATCCCGAGAGCAAGAAAATACTATATATGCACATTAATCAAATGTGCATATATTTTCCACATTAATAATTTGGAATGCACATTAATATTATGAAATACACATTAATATTATGAAATGGATATATTTATATATATCCCTATTTCATATACTATATGAAACGAGAACTAGAATAAAACATAAAATTGTAAAATAAATCCATTTATACACCAGCAGATACAAGTCTTCACAGGGACGTGAAGCTGTATATCGGGTCGTTCCAACAACCCTAACAAGCACTCAACGTTAAAACAAAAGAGCATTGCTTCCTTACCTTACAAACAGCGAGAAGAGCAACAAAGTTGATCACATTCTAACCTCACTATCACTAGACAAAAGCGTTTCTCTTTCCCATTAGATGGAGGGAACGTTAATTTAGCACACAAGTTACTTTAACATGATGCACTTTGATTATCCTGGCAGTTCTCCGGTCTTCATAATTCTGCTTCACCACCACAGCCTGAGAAGAAAGCACTACGCAGATGACATAAACATTCACACAAAACCCGCGGTGATAATCCAGTGACCGCGCATACCGGAGGAGCCGCACCATCACTCGTCTCAAACAAAACTTGGAGCCGGGTGCAGAGTTAATGTGTTCACTGTAATGTCTCACGAGGTATATTATTCATCATTGTGCCTTTGGAGTCATGTCATTCAGAGAGAAATGTGTGATAAGAGAATGATGATGTTGCTCAGTGACGCGTGCTGCAGATGAAACGACTTGTGCATTGGCCGAGTGCATTCTTGCACGCTGGGCCAATGACACTGTTTACATCAGCGAATTCTGTTACATGAGCTCAAAGCTGCGGTGTTTCGTCAAGATTAGCGTGGGTTGGGGAGGATTAAGGGGTTGGAAGAGGCGTGTAGAGAGCATGTGAGTGTTGTGGGCGTGCAGGGGAGGCGTGTGTGGAGGAGCACCTGGCGAGTGGTGGTAGCGGTGTGGCTGGAGGCTCTGACTGTGCCTCGCTCGTTCACCGCGACTACTGAGCTCATGTGCCCTGGGTTGTGTGTCCCCGCGCGCCCCCTCCCGACCCCCTCTACCACACCCCGCCTCCACCCTCCCTCTACCAAACTCCTCCCAACCTTCCCTCCACTACACCCCTCCCAACCATCCCTCCACTACAACCCTCCCAACCTTCCCTCCACTACACCCCTCCCAACTCCTCCCTCCACCACCACTACACTATTTACTCACAACACTACACTTTGTTAGTATCTGAGCTGTAAGTGGGTAAATTTACAAATTATATATATTTATTTATTACACAGACCCTTTAAAGTCTTTGTTTTACATAACAAAAATCATCTACAGGTGATTTTTTTATATAAAACAAATGCTCTACTTAGATACTTTACTTTCAAAAAATATTTGGACACCGATTTTTATTAAATAAACAAATTTATCGATTTCTCGCCCGCCCCTACTCTCTCTCTCTCTCTCTCTCTCTCTCACTCTCTCTCTCTCTCTCTCTCTCTCTCTCTCTCTCTCTCTCTCTCTCTCTCTCTCTCTCTCTCTCTCTCTCTCTCTCTCTCTCTCTCTCTCTCTCTCTCTCTCTCTCTCTCTAATCGTAGGAACCTAGGCTCAAAGCATGGTTTTCGCTTGCAAAAAGTAGATCGTCTCTCCCCCAACACACACACACACACACACACACACACACACACACACACACACACACACACACACACACACACACACACACACACACACACACACGTGCGGGCACGCTCCACAGTGTTGACTCTCCAGCCGACACCTTTAAACCCACAAGGTTTTCTCCCGGTAATTAGTACAAAGGTAAACAAGAACTTTACGCGCACCACGTACGGAGTACGCCAGCACTTGCTTCAGTATACGGTGCCCAGGTACCGGTGGCACCTGCCAGGTACCGGTGGTACCCGGTCCGTCTAATTACCAAAAACTACCACATACTACACACGCTTCAGAAAACTTCCTGGCAATACGTTAGTAATGAATAAATATGATATATTTACTCATTACAATGTTGGTGCTGAACATACAACATGAAAAAACATAATTTTAATCCGAAAAAGTATCTTTTTATAAAGAAATTAGACGAAAATAAAAAGCTGGTGACGCTAAATCAAGTCGACGATCCAAGCTTCGGTTAGGTTAGGTTAGGTTTGGTTAGGTTTGGTTAAGTTAGGTTAGGTTAGGTTAGGTTAGGTCAGCCTAACTTAATATATCATATTTATTCATTACTAACGTATTGCCAGGAAGTTTTCTGAAGCGTGTGTAGTATGTGGTAGTTTTTGGTAATTAGACGGACCCGTGGTACCTGCCAGGTACCAGTGGCATATGCGTAGGTACGGGTAACAGGTGCCCAGGTACCGGTGACATGAACAGGTGAACAGAATCGATGTCAATCAGCATGTGTACAGGTACAGGAGATGGTGGCAAGTGTATGGGTACCAGTTCTAGTGTTATATACCAATGCTAGTACCATATACTGATGGTATATGGTACCGGTATACCGGTACTAGTACCTATATACCTGTATTATTATCTTTGTTTCAACATTAACTTTTAATGGCCGGATCTCTTATCTCATACGCGGGATCCCTCTCGTCCCAGATTCTAAAAGGAAGAATCTCTCCTTTTCTAACAGCTGGACCTCATTCTCTCTCTCTCTTGTCTCTGTAGGACTCTCTAATGTCTATGGAAAGATACCTTCCTTCTTGTCTCTATAACAAGATCCAGTTATATTTTCTCCAGAGGATCTCTTCCTTCATTTATCAGTATTATGTCTATACGTGAGGACAGCTCCCCTGTCTCTCGTCTCTACAGCAAATATTCTTCTCTTCGTACTAAAAGACCTTTTGCGTAGGTCTTTTTTGCGAATGCGTAGGTGATTGGAGGTCCCCATTGACGGGGGACCACGAGTTCCTCTTCTACCAGTGACTTCACTCTTGGCTCTCCTGTACACGGCGGGGGACTGTCACTCCTTTCCTTGTACGACGGACAGATCAAAGTTAAGACCAGCCAGGGAATTGACCCTAATCTTAGCCTCTTCTGCCCTCTCCAGGATTTTTTGTGGGGATTATGGAGGTTTAATTGATCTCTCTCTCTCTCTCTCTCTCTCTCTCTCTCTCTCTCTCTCTCTCTCTCTCTCTCTCTCTCTCTCTCTCTCTCTCTCTCTCTCTCTCTCTCTCTCTCTCTCTCTCTCTCTCTCTCTCTCTCTCTCTCTCAACAGTCTAGATAGGGAGTCACGTACATCAGACCTGAACATTAACATTATGGTGTCTGACCTGCAAGCGATATTTTCTCAAGAGATGAATACACATTATTATGTATTATAATTAAATGTACAGTTAGGCCTAAAGAAGGTTTGGTCAAGTATGATTCTGCTGGAAATTAGTTATCGAAATCAGTACGTGGGTAAAGCATTTAGAGAAGTGAGCTTAGAACAGTGAAACAAATGCGTGACGGACCTCGGCGCCATCTATGATCCAGCTGCCGAACTATAACAGTTGACGCTCCCATTAATCCTAGTTTCCCATCTTCTAGTCTGGTGGGCTGGAAGGTGACGAGCAGCCAGGGACAGGCGAGGGACGTGAGTGACGCCAGGGAGAGTGGAAGAGTGCTTGGGTCGACCTGAAGGTGCTAGCCACTGAGGCTAGTTAAGTGCTGAGGACTTCACTATTGGAATGTGCTAGCCAGTGGGGCTTGATGAGCGTACTAGCGATCAGGCCTCCTGGTTGATCAGTCCAGCAACCAGGAGGCCTGGTCGACGACCGGGCCGCGGGGACGCTAAGCCCCGGAAGCACCTCAAGGTAACCTCAAGGTAAGGTGCCTTTGTAACCCTTTCCACCACCGCCCAAGGGATGGGTATGCGGGTGCTTAATAAGAAAAATTGAACTGTTGTTGTTGTTGTTTTTAGATTTATCTACTGGGAACGAAATGTCCCTGTAGCACGGGCTATGGTGAGCCCGTAATTGAGTTCGGTTATTCGCGATAACCTTGTTAATTTGATATTTGGGTCAAAGTTTCAATATTTATAAAGAAATGCAAAGTACCGGTAGCACAGGCACTCAGTATAGTGTGGAGGAAGAGCTTGGACACGGGGGAGATACCAGATGCACTTAAAGTAGCAGACATAGCCCCTCTACACCAACCCGTTCTCGCAAATTCGTAAAGTCAATATTGACTTATTAACTACGTGCATAGGTGATATACTAAACATAATAGATACCCTTAAAAAGATTCATAGAAAACACCGACCTTACCTAACCTTGTTAGTATCTTAAGATAAGCATCTTATTGCTTCGTAATTACAATTATTACTTAACCTATACCTATTATAGGTTAGGTAATAATTGTAATTACGAAGCAATAAGATGCTTATCTTAAGATACTAACAAGGTTAGGTAAGGTCGGTGTTTTCTATGAATCTTTTTAAGGGTATCTATTATGTTAAGTATGTCACCTATGCACATATTTAATAAGTCAATATTGACTTATTAAATTTGCGAGAACGGGTTGCAACACAAGGGAGGGAGCAAAGCATTGGCAAAAAATTATAGACCAGTTGCACTAACATCGCACATCATAAAAGTATTTGAGAGAGTGATTAGGAGTCAGGTCACCAATTTCATGGAGACCAATGACCTTCACAACCCAGGCCAACATGGATTTCGAGCGGGAAGATCGTGCCTCTCACAGCTACTTGAGCACTACGACAAAGTCACTGAGGCATTAGAAGAGAAACAGAATGCTGATGTGATATACACGGACTTCGCAAAGGCTTTCGATAAATGTGACCATGGCGTGATAGCACACAAAATGAAGTCAATGGGAATAACCGGTAAAGTAGGACGCTGGATACTCAGTTTTCTGTCAAACAGGACTCAGCGAGTAACTGTCAACCATATAAAATCTAGTCCAAGTGCAGTGAAAAGCTCTGTACCTCAGGGTACAGTCCTTGCACCGCTGCTTTTCCTTATTCTCATATCAGATATAGACAAAAATACAAGTCACAGCTTCGTATCATCCTTTGCAGATGACACAAAAATCAGTATGAAAATTACCTCGGCTGAGGACATTGAAAAACTTCAAGCTGATATTAATAAAGTTTTCGACTGGGCATCAGAAAATAACATGATGTTTAACAGTGATAAATTCCAGGTACTCAGGTACGGTAAAAATGAGGACCTTAAACATAATACAGAGTACAAAACACAATCAAATGTACCCATAGTAGGAAAACAGCATGTAAAGGATTTGGGAATAATAGTGTCTGACGACCTAACGTTTAAGGAGCATAACCAAGCAAATATTGCGACAGCCAGAAAAATGATAGGATGGATTACGAGAACTTTCAAATCCAGGGATCCCATCACAATGGTTGTACTCTTCAAGTCACTTGTGTTGTCCCGTCTTGAGTACTGTTCAGTACTCACTTCCCCCTTCAGAGCAGGAGAGATTGCTGAAATAGAGGGAATACAGAGAACATATACGGCACGCATAGATGCAATAAAGCACCTAAATTATTGGGATCGTCTCAAAGCCCTCCAAATGTACTCACTAGAAAGAAGACGAGAGAGATATCAAATAATATACACCTGGAAGATACTGGAGGGCCAAGTACCAAATCTACACAGTAAAATAACAACGTACTGGAGTAAACGATATGGAAGAAAATGTAGAATAGAACCAGTGAAGAGCAGAGGTGCCATAGACACAATCAGAGAACACTGTATAAACATCAGAGGGCCGCGGTTGTTCAACGTCCTCCCAGCAAGCATAAGAAATATTGCCGGAACCACCGTGGACATTTTCAAGAGGAAACTAGATTTATTCCTCCAAGGAGTGCCGGACCAACCGGGCTGTGGTGGGTATGTGGGCCTGCGGGCCGCTCCAAGCAACAGCCTGGTGGACCA